CATTATTTTAAATCGGTGGTTCCAAATGGAACCTCTGGGCACGAAAGAGTTGAAATCAGACTATAGTCTAGTGATTTTTGTACGAAGGTTTTGGGATCCATCTAGGCCTGGGTTCTTCGCGCTAACATAAGCGATGACTATTTTCGCAGAAAGTACGGAGTAGGCTATAGTAATGGCATTAGGCCGAGTTAAGTAGATGACGCTTCTCATCTCTCTCTCGGGTGACTGGGTCGCTTATGTCGCGTGACAGGGTGGCCTGGGCTCGAACCTAGCCAAGTCAAGTGCATATTTCCTAGTTCAAGCGCCAGCGTGCTTGGGAAGGGAGTACCCAAGCACAGAGCGCTCCTATCTCTAGATGTGGGACGTTGAGGAACCGTGGCAGTGAAGGTCGAATCCCAGGGGAATCCCAATGCAAAGGGGGAAAATGCTTATATTTTCAGTAGCCTAATACTTTTTTTTACGGGTCATTTAGGCATTTTCAACCTTCTGCAGTGTTTTCACTTGACTTTGACACTCATGGATGAGGAACGTCCCATGAACGTGTGTTCGAGTCAAGTGAAATGTTGTCTAATGGGAAAAAGGTGAAAATATTCATCATTCGCTTTACATACTTAGCGTTTGGCATACTTAAGGTGTAATTTCAATATCGGTTATCGGCAGGTCATATATCGTTTTAGGCCGATATATCGGATTCACCTAATATCGGCCGATACCGATAACCGATAAAATATCGTTGCATCTCTAACTGGTACAATAGTCATTACAAGGTACAATAGTCATTACAACGTACAATATTCACCACCAAGTTGAATCCCTGAGGTGAACAACAGGAGGACAGACCTTTGAAGCTCATGCCCATGGCATGATCCAGCTGCTTGAAGTGCCACTCCAGGGGCTCCCGGGTCAGCATCATCACCTCCTCGATCGACTGGCAAGATTCCATTTTTCCAGTACTGAGAGCTCAGTCAAGCAACTAAACTGCATGACTGCAGGCCACAGACAAAATGAGATTTGGGGCCACTGGTCTCGGAATACCAACTTTTGAGCCGTAGCTGCATGCTAAGTGTACCCAATGAACAAGCACGAAAAGAAGCTCATTTGTCGTTAAATATTAATATGCCCATGCCATGAGCAGAATCGAATTTCAATCTATTTCTTCATATTGAATTGAGAAAACAAGTCGGATTTCCACTAGCCCGATGCCTCCAATCTCGAAGTCATTTTTTTTGCATATTATTGCTTTTTTTACAAAAAATGCCACACCTGTTGAGCAAAGGTCCCCAGTGTGTCCAGGGTGTGGAGATTCATCTCGAGGAGGGCCAGGCCGGAGGAGTAGAGCGACACTTCGTCCAGCTGGAGGACGGAGATTGCGATCCAGAACAGGGCCGTGTGGATCGGCGACTCCTGTTCAAACGAGAGAAAGTGAAGAAAGATTAAGAAGCACAATTGAGCCGGGTGTCCCTACTCTCGTGCCTGCCCGATGGTTTCATTTTTTCAAAACAGGTCCCACATGTTGCAGAGGATAGAACTTGTCCCTGCTTCTCGTCACACAAGATCCCTCCATCATTAGTATGCAACCAGAGATACAGCTTCTTTCATACTTATATAAGTGGACACTCAACATACAGACTTCAGAGAACAAATGACCCCTCCTCCATTCCCTTCCCTTAACTTGAGCATGGAAGTACAAGAAGAATGTCTGGAGCTCTCAGTTGCTCCTTCGACATCATTCGCGTCAGATCGAAGAACTCCACAGCGGCTCTCGACAAACTTTCTCGAGACCGCGCGGGCCGACGAACCTTGCGGAGGAGTGGCTGGAGGCGGGTGAGACACATGACGATGGCGTCGATGAGGGTGAGCTGGGTGACGTCGGTGAGGCTCTCCAGCGCCTTCACCAGGATCCGCAGCAGCTGCTTCACGTCGGCGTCCGTGATGCTCTTCGAGATGCAGCCGAAGACGATGAGGGCCCGCGGCTGCAGGGCGGGGTTGTAGCGGAACGCGAAGCTCTTCGACAGCGACATCCAGTGCGAGAGCCAGTCGCAGTCGGGGATGTCTCGCATGCAGCACTGTTGTTTGAGGAAAATTTCTCTTCATGCATTGGCCGTGCAAAAAATCAGCTGAAAATTTTTAGCCAAAATGCATTTTTGAGGCTGTGAAGCCAAAAATTAACTCAGGTGAAAATACTACATTTCTTTCTTCAAAGGTTGCACTGAGAAAATCACAGTGGTCTCATATTGTGCATAATATTCTGTACTTTTCTAAAAAGCAAATTTCCAAAGCAGGAAACAGATTTTCATATTGATTTTTGTAGGATACAAGAACTGGCATCACTGTGAGAACAATCTAGCAAAAGACTTCATTTTCAGAGGCGGTTTTGCTGATAACAAAACGCATAAAGGAACACACCTCCATGATCTCCAGGAGGGAGTCGGCAATGATCTCGAGGCTGTGGAGGGAGATGTCCTCACGATCGGGAACAGAAGAGGAGAAGCCCCGGTCGGGGCCGAAACGGTCGATGTGCCGGCAGCTGGATCGGAACGCCGTCACTGCCGCCGACTTCACCTTGCTGATCCCGAAGAGGAGGTAGAACTTCGGCAGCGAGTACTCGTCCAGGGCCATCCGCAGCACCCGCTGTGTCTCCTCTGCGAGGAAATAAAAATAAAATTTCAGAAATCCCAACAGGCAGGAAAATTTTTCCCTGAAATCTTCCAATACTTTGTTTTTTTCTTCCCCCCCCCATATTAAATTCCTTGGCATTCCAGGTCCCCAGGAACCTTGCAAGAAAAAACCAACACTTCTGCTTCTATGGTGAACAGGTGCCCCACACTGGAACCATCCCAATCGACGGTATGCATGATTCCCCCCAAATTTCAACAGAAAGAATGAGTGTATGCCTACCACTGAAGGAGGGCTTCGTGCAGGTGCAAAGGGAGTGGATGATGTTGATGACGAGGCCGTGGATGGAGGCGCGGAGGCTGACCGACCCCGTGCAGACGAGGAAGGAGACGATGTGGAAGAGATAGGGTAGGTGCGACGCCACGTCGAGGCAGTTGTTGAACGAGAGCATGAGCAAGTAGCGTGCCAGGATGGCGATGTCATCCCACATCAGGTGCTGCTCCAGGCATGGTGTCGGCGAAGTGCACGTCTTGTCGATCACCTAGTGGGGGGGGATAAAAAGCAGAGATACACTACATATGCATATCCAGGGAATAGGAACACAAATTCTGTTCCACTTCAGTTCCTCTACCCAGAACTTTAGTTCACTTCTCAAGGGGACTCAAGTTGACAAGGAAACCTTGGTGAAAAATTGAAATATGTTCTGGTTTAAATTCAGTGATAATCAAGACCTTTGACTTATGTGGGAGGACAATCACTTCAGAGAGGCCATTGTAGCTGAAAGGCAATCTCATGCTTTAATAACCCGACTTTCTAGCCAGGAGTCTGACCGTGCAGAGTCGAGAGATGAGCTTGCGTGCGACCATCTGAACATTGGCAGCTGCCAGTGCGACGGCTGTGTCGGCGAGGATCTCCGCCTGACTCGACCCCAGCCCCCCCGTCACAGACCGCTTGATGAAGCAGTCGAGCACCACGTCGATGAGGTCGGACACCTGCCCGATGTTCCCCCAGATCTTGGCCTGGATGGACGGGTACATCTCCTCCTCCTCGATGGTGAGCGTGATCAGCTTGTCCAGGATGAGGGCGACCTTGGACCGCTTCATCTCGTCCGATTGCTTGCAGAACCTGCAGCAACGCATGCACGAGCTTAGAAATCAATGTGGGTTCTCCCATTGAAGTCAGAAATATTTTTCCTGCCCTCTCTATATAATAATATTTATAGACCACAACAGCAATTTAAACAGAGAAAAGCATGTACTCATTGCATCCCCACACCACAAGGTTCACACATTGGCGTCAAAGAAGAATGTGCCATAAACGAGAAGACTCGCAACGGTTCGCAATGCAAAAGTGATCCGATGATCCAAGAAAATATCTTTAAAAAAAAAACTACACCACCATCCCATGCTTCCCTTATGAAACCAGGCTCTACTGCACCCAAAGCACCAAATACCTTCAACAGCAAAACTCAATGAAAACATCCCTCCCCTCAGCAGCAACTTGAAAGATCCAGCAAGAGAACCTTGGATCGCAACAAGAAACTCGGCCTCCTGTCCAGATTACTCGTGCATCAATGTCCCGATACAGGTTCAAAATCAATTCGAACAAGCCCTCGAGCAAACGCTCAAACACATCCTTGCACAGATGCTCACGCACATCCTCGAGTGAATAATGAGCCTTGCCTGGTGAGATTATGCAGCCACGGCGTCATGTACTCGAGGCAGAGATGCTTCAGCTCGATGGTGGAGGACCGGAAGCCCTCCATGCACTCCTCGAGGAACTCGAGGGTGAGGTGCGGCTCGTTGCGTGCCAGCGTCTCGCTCACCGACTTGATGAAGATCGTGTTGTTCGATGGGATGCACAACCCTGAGCGACAGGAAGCGGAAATAAAATATTTACTTGGAGCACAAAATGATTTTGCAAATGAGCACCATAACCAAAAATTTTAATCCTTCTATAAAATATGCCAAATTTGGATTTCCCACATGAAATATTTTAAATTATTTCAAACTATATGTAAACTTCTTGAAACATCATGCAATTCATAATGAACATTCCAAATAGCATGTTTCATGTTCTGTTTCACAGTCAGAGTCAATCACTGGACTGCTTGAGTTTCATTCCACAGCATGAAAGAATTCCTAAAACTGTGCAGAGAAATCAAAATATCCCAACAGAATCCAGGAAACGGTCGGGAGAGAAACGGACCCGAGGTCTCGAGGAGCTGTCCCTCGATGCGGAGGTCAAAGGTGACGGTGAGGGCACAGAGGAGGTTGTAGGCTGCTGTCCTCAGCTTGGGGTCCGAGGAGCCGAGGTTCAACAGGGCCATGTTGAGCAGCGTGCCCGGCACGTCCTTCGGGCGGATCTTCTGGTGCACCGTCACCGAATCCTGTGGTGACAGAAGTTGCACGAGGATGAAGTTGTCATGCATTCTTGACATCATATGCAATGCCAAGATGAAAATTTCCCCAGAATTAACTGGATGATACCATTTTCAGTTTGTTCACTTTCAACTTCATTTTATATTTATTTTCCTGGCACAGCAAAATGGCCTTTTGACAAATGCTTTCTAAATCTATCACGCTCTTCTCTAAAATGATTCAAGGCCCAAACTCCTCTAAAGCACTCGCATTTTAATACTGCCCCGAACATTTCCAAAAATGTGCAAATTTTTTTCCCTCGACTCGACTCACCGGCTGAGAGAGCTCCCAGCGCGTGCGGATGTGGATGATGGCCTGGACGATGGAGTCGCAGTCGTTGTGGATGAAGGACAGCGGACCGCTCTCGTTCGAGATGGTCAGCGTGAACTGGTTGTCGTCCACCAGGCACACCTCCTCGATCTCGGCCGCGTAGTAGATGTCGTTGAGCAGCACCGAGTGGCCCAGCACCTTGGTCTTCTCTGCCGACGTGATCTGGATCGCCGTCGGCCCCACCTGTCACGAGGCGTGATCGTCAGCGGATCGATCGGCAAGGCAGACGCGAGTCAAAACATACTGTTTGCATCGCTAGCTGCGACTTGCACAAAAGACAAAAATTAATCGTACGAGAGATAGTCTACTTGGCAAAATTCAGCACAAATGGTTAACAAAAGGAAGTTAGCAGAATCTGAAGAGGAGGATGGAGAAGGAACTGCATCCATGAACTGGAACGGGTCTCTCGTGGAAACCGAGAACTTCGGGTGGCAGATACAGAAACTGAAGATCAATGAAAGCGGAGAGGCACAGAAAAGGCTCGAGCCACATCTCCGCAACTCATCCTTCCATAAACTCATCGTGCACTACAGCAATTCTCAATCCGTGTGCCACGTCAGCCATGGGTGCTGGGAGCGGCCGACAGAGGCATTGCAAGCATATTTTCAAACGAAGTGAGCAATACCTCAACTTCCTCAGGCACAGGTACCGCATTAAAACCAAACAAAAACCAAGCAAGTCTCTCATCGTTCCGGTCACAGAGCACGAAAACGACCTCCAGTCCTTCCTCGAACGGATCTCGATCGCGACTCGATTGCAGCTTTCGCGACGCGACCGAGAGGTCGAAACGTGCCTTGATGGCCACTTTGGTGTCCTTGTGCGACAGCTTGAGCGCGTTGTTGAAGACCTTGAGGTCCTCGTCCAGCGTGAGCGTCGCCCCGGGCAGCTTCTGCTGGTCCGGGTCGATGTAGTCCCCCAGTCGCGACGGCGTATCCAAGAAGATCAGCTTCCGGTTCCCCTGCAAAACAAACAAACCGCCTCAGCCTCTCGAGACCCGACGACCAGAAGTACCCCAGAAGTCCCGGTACCTTGAGGGAGCAGAGGATCCGCTCGTGGTACTTGGTGTACTCCCGCAGCCAGGAGTTGCAGTTGTAGATGTAGCAGGCCTCGATGTTGTCGTAAGCCACTTCGGGCAGCACCACGCCCCACTTCTGCAGGAACTCGGTCCTGCATGCACAGGAAAAGTGACAGCATGGTGACCTGAAAACGGCGCTTGAAAGTACTTCCGAGAGTAAACCCGCCGAGAAACTACCAAGAAACCACCAAGCAACAGTACTCCATGCCACTTCAGCAAGGCCAACGAGTACATGAAATACTGCTCCTCAGCAACTGCTGAGCAACACTACCCAACACTACGTTTAAACCTGCAACCAATTCCTAAAAAGCAGTACTTGACACAGCGTCAAAATAATCAGGTCTACGAGAAACTGCACCGGTTGGTACTTAGGACTATGCAATTAGGACCACAAGGAGATGCTCACTAACTGTAACCCCCGCCATGACTGATCGCCTATTAATTGCAACTTCTCCTCTACACGTGTCCTTTCATCATTAACAGAGGAGAATGACAGAAAATCATGACAGCGACAAATGAGGACAGACTGGCGGCCTTCGTGAAATCAATGGCTTTGCCGCGATTCCGCTGTCATGCGGGATCAGAGGTCGACCACTTTCCCCCAAATCTCCTGAATCCATTTTGGGTAACATCCTTCCGGCTTTTTCTGCGTCTGAGTTTACTGTGACGTGGACAGACATGGAGAAGAGTATAAAAACTCCACTTGGAGGATGGAGGAGGAGGGAGGAGGTAGAGGTGGTGAAGGGTTCCGGACTTCGCTGCTGCTGCTACTATCAACAGGCACCGGGTTAGGGTCCCTGTTGGTAAATTAGAGCCTTGCTATTTCTACTCGGTTGGAGCCGAGGCGCCTAAGCGCTGGTTGTAGCCAGGCTTGGGTGGATCTGGTTGGGGCCAGAAGGGACGTATGGAAACAGCAAGGCCGCGATCGGATTGTAGGCGTGCGGAGGGTTGGAGCCCGAGCGACCCCTTTCCGATTTCGTTGTTTAGCTGTGATTGAACAAATCACGAGACCGCGAGCGCTACATAATCATTCATGCACAAATACCACAGCCAATTCCTGAGCTCAGCAGAGAGTATAGACACCACACGCAGTGAATGGGACTCCCAACAATTTTCGCAAGTGACTGCAGAGCCATGGGACCCTCCCTCCACCCATCCCTGCCTCCCATTCTACGAACCGAGCTCCCATGATACAAAGCCGAGAGAGAATGACCCGACCGACTCCGCCTCCAATGTAACACGAACACTTGGGCGAGCGCCACCGGGCGACATCCGCCGTCTCCTCCCCGCCCGCAACAGGACGACGCCTCGCCTGCCTCTGCACCGCAGGTCTAACACTCACATCTCGCCACAACGAAACAAAAAACCTTACCCCCGCGTCTCCCTTCTACATACGATCATGCACACGCAACCAGGAGGCAGCGAAACGAAGCCAACACTGCACTGCACCGACTTTCTCGACACACCGCTAAGACACACAGCCACTCCAAGCACCCCAGCCCCCGTACCTGAATCGATTGTCCGCACAGGTGTGAGTGAAGTCCACGACGAGCTCAAACGCCTTATTGCAGAACGGCTTCAGCGTGAGAATCACGTGATAGATCAGCAAATCCCCATTCGTCTCCCCGATCCTGCCAAAACAGAGAGGCATCAACACCCACCACCCCCCCCCCCCCCCCCCCCCCCCCCCCCCCCCCCTACGACGACTACCGCTTAGAATGACGCCTGCCCCCCTTAATAGTGACTACTGCCCCTGTGAATGACGCCTGCCCCCCTTAATAGTGACTACTGCCCCTGTGAATGACGCCTGCCCCCCTTAATAGTGACTACTGCCCCTGTGAATGACGCCTGTCCGTCTCAATACTGCCCCGATGAAAACCGCTTGCTCTCTCGTAAGAAACCACGCCCACATCACGTGCGGAATCAGAACCCAGACGCCTCGCTACCGAATGGCAACAAGGAAAAATCGAAACTGAGTTAGACGAAGATTAAAAATAAAAAATTATTTATTGCAATTTCCAGCCAAGAGGAAATATTTTAGCATATCTATGAGAAGCTACAGAAAAGTATCGCTCCCCCCCCAGCCATTTTTTTAAAAATAGGTTTTAGGAGCCAGAAATGCCGATTCGACGTGAAGAAATGTTATTTGCTTCCCACTAGTACTGGTGAAGTACCTTGTACTTTTCCTGTACTCATCTGTACAGGGACGTGTGTTGAAAAGCCTTTTGGAATTTTCCGTTTTCGGCTACTTTGAACGGCTGCTCCATTTCCGATTCGAACTCACTACGCCAGGAGGCCCAGGCCTCGGGGGCTTGCTTCACGTTCCGCGCCGCTCCGGAGGGTGCTCCGCGCCGGCCCCCCGTCGGTTTGATCGAGAGGCTCGGGGCGGTGACCCGAGGCTTCTCTGAGGTCCTTGGCCGTGTGGAATGCAATCAGTGTATTCCAGTGTAATCTCGTCTTCATTTTAGTGGGTCAGAAACTTTTGGAACACTCTGTATAAGTATTCATTATTTGTATGATTATTTATTAGTAAGATATATTTAAGATATTATTTTTATATATTTTTTCTTTGTTCAATTTGTATGGCAGCCCATTTTCATCTAATTTGACTTTTTCAATCACTATGGATTTTGTCACATTTAAATGTAAATATGATGAAAACTATTTTAACCGAATGAGGAAAAAAAGCCCTAATGAGGCAATTGGTTTTTCATCGGCAGCGGGCGGTGGAGCTCGATGGACATGACGAGCTCCAAGTTCGAGGAGATCATGTCCAAGCACAACATGCACGAGAAGGAGGAGTTCAAGGGGGACAGGCGTCATTCACAGGGGCAGTAGTCACTATTAAGGGGACAGGCGTCATTCACAGGGGCAGTAGTCACTATTAAGGGGGACAGGCGTCATTCACAGGGGCAGTAGTCACTATTAAGGGGGGCAGGCGTCATTCACAGGGGCAGTAGTCACTATTAAGGGGGGCAGGCGTCATTCTAAGCGGTAGTCGTCGTCGATGAATCACAGACATTAAACCAACACTTCGTACGAGATTTCCTCTCTGGAAAAGGCGTCGTAGAAAGGAAGAGACCTGAGAGACGGCTGCTTTTTCGGAAGGTGAGTAAGTGGAAGCACTGTTCATTATGTTTTTGCAGGAAACATTTTTAATGTATTCACATTCTCATGTGAGTGTTCGATCGGTTATCCTGGGAGGGCCCCATTAAATGTCGGAAGGAAAAAAAATTTTTGCACTTTATATTTTAATCTGAAGATGGTCTTCTTTCAATCTCCCCGTTGATCGGCCCGTGAGCTTATTTTTAATTTAAATTCATTGTTTCTCGAGCCAGACACATAATTTAGGGGAATCTGCGAGGGAAAATCTTCCGCGAGGATTCTGATTTTCACCCAGAAGAGACCTACACCATGCTTCAGCCAAGTTCAAGTCGGCCACTCCCCGAAAGTTCGAAATCTTCCCTTCATCGTGCACAGCCTAATATATACCTTGCAAAATAAATTACAACAAAGAATACAAGCACCACGAAGCAGCAGAATCGATCGACACCAATAGTAACCTTAAGACGCACGAACGCCGAGACGACGCGGTGCCTGGAGCGCGCGTGCAGCGATCGATTCGAAGGGGACACCGGAAGGAGACGAGATCGATTCGAAGGGGACACCGGAAGGAAGGGAACATGATCGATTCGAAAGGGACAGTCGAGACAAGCGATGGAAGGAGGTAATGAAGTGTACGTGGATCTAGGGCGGGGGAGGGGACCATCGGAGGTCGGGACACCTCAGGACAGCGAATAAAAAGGGCGAGTGTGGGGTGTGCACGGAGGACGCATGCTCACCTGTACGTGCACATCCTCCCCCTTAAGCACTCATGGCCACTCATATCTGCCACGTGGGTGTGTCGGGGGATGCCCTGTCGCCTGATCTGGAGTCATCCTCACCCCACTCCTCTCACCCACCTGCTCACCCCTGCCGGATGAATGACCCCCTCGACCTAATCCGACGGGCGCTCGGGGTCTCAACCACAAGCCCAGGAACGCATTAAGGTCTCCGGCTCCATGAGGCAAAGCACGCACCACCCCCCACCCTTCGCCACAATCTTACGCGGGAGGGGAAAACCCAGGATGAAAAGTTTCTCGTTACCTCGTTTTCCCATCACCCAGTGCCTATCAACTCAACCGACGCCCCTCCCCGAGTCCGCGCATCGTTCGCCAATCCGATTATCCCGGTTGCACAACGGAGGATTTCCCCTTCCGGATATAACCGCCCTTTGAGGCGCACCTTATCCCTCTGCCCTTTCGCATTCGTTCAGTCTCTCATTCGCTCTCATCAAAAGGTCACGATTAAATATGTAAGCTGGCATCTGGGTCGCCGACCTAGAAAGTCGCCTGCTAGGAAATTGAATCACGCCTATAAGACTTCTCGCATGCGGTATCCGATTCAAGCAGCTGCAGTCGAATTCGTTCTCAGCAAACCCTAGCAGCTGCAGTCGAATTCGTTCTCAGCAAACCCTAGCAGCTGCAGTCGAATTCGTTCTCAGCAAACCCTAGCAGCTGCAGTCGAATTCGTTCTCAGCAAACCCTAGCAGCTGCAGTCGAATTCGTTCTCAGCATACCTTAGCAGATACAGTCGACTACGGGTACAACGTACACGGCTATAATAAACTCGCAATAATCGCCCTTCTAAAATGGTAAAACTCTCAAGCAATTTTCTTTCCGTCAACTTACTTCTGGTTATTTAACGTCACCACCAACTTGAGCTTACCAACGCCAAGCAAAGGGAGATTACTTAGCCACCTCTCAACCACAGCAAAAAAAAACGTGAGAATTTTCCTTTCATCCTGAACGTTTTACAGCAAAACTGCAAGAACAGCTTCGTTCAAGCGGAAAATTCGCGGGAAAAACCTCACCCCTCCAACTTGCTACAAATTTTCGACAAATTTTTGATGAAACAAATTCCTCCCCCCCCCCCATCCCCCTAGAAAAACGTTCTACCAAGTAATTTAGTCCAAAAGTAAGGATTTTTCTGAATTTGGCGACCTGAAAGCTACTCGTACACTGAATTTCAGCCTACCGTGAAAAAAAAGCCATTCCCCCCTAAAATTTATCAATTTTATCCCGAAAGGAAAATTTAACTAATTGGAAGGTGAGAAATGGCGTCAGTCATCGTTTATACAGATATTTTATATATTAGATAGTATTAGATTTAGATATTTTTGTTAGCGTGTCCCAGTCAAACGCCCTTACACACCAACGCTAAAAAAAATGATAAAAAAAATACTTCATTAATTACAGAAGTCTTCGTGAAGCCTTTGACCTGGCGCTCATTTCAGTTCATTTGCATTACCAGCAGACAAATTTCATCAGTTCCACCGCTAAAATCGATAAAAGCAATCACAGGCTCTTTTCTTCTTCCTTTTTTCAACCCAATAAATCAACGGTAGGAGTGCCAGCACATCTGGACTGCCAGTTCTCGAGTGAGTCTCATCGCAATTCACCATAGCGTAAACTACGGCCAGGACTCGAAACCCTTCCCCGCCTACAACCCAGCTTGACCATTACGAAAAATGCCAGACTAAAAATACACATAAATGAATGAATGAATGCATACTGACTGCTACATACAAACCAAATTTCTTTTTACAATCAAACTTCTCTTTCGCTCGGAACATACAACCCTGAAAATTTTGCTTTCTGAAACTAAAATTAAAATAAAAAAATTTGATTAATGCAAGCCATCTGCGAGCTTCCCATATGTGGAATCGCTCGGGGAAGGCGACAGAGTGCAACAAGGTCCTCACTGCGAGTCGAGCGGCTTGTGCTCCGGCGGCCCCAGGTAGGCCAGGAGGGTGGCCAGCTTCTCGTACGGCCGGCACTTGGCCTTCGGGTCCCCCGTCTCCTTGGTGGAGCGGGCGAGGTACTCCCCGATGCGCTCCTGGTGCGTCCACAGCAGGCGGTGCAGGGCGAGCACGTTGGCGTCGCTGATGAAGGAGATGCTGTGCTGCGGCTGGTCCTCCACCACGGCGTCCAGGGAGATCTGGATGAAGAACCTGTGGGGGGACGGAGAGGGAGGTCGGTCGTCTTCGAGCAGGGAAATCGGGAGGCTTAAATGATAAAAATGATTACATTTTCATCTAACACAAAGTCAATTCTGCAGATTATTCATAAAAATCCACTTTCAACGACGACACCAAAATAGAAATCCGAATCGGACCTGGATGATAAAAATAAATAAAATCTAAAAAAGCAATAGTTTAACCATGCAAAAAACCGCCACGAGAGGGCTCCGCACCTCCGGCACGGCTCGAAGTGCTGCCGCAGGAAGTCGTTGAAGGCCAGCATGTGCTGCTCCTTGGAGAACTCCACGTGATTGGCAATGTTCTGCAGGATCTTGCTGGCCAGCATGAGGCCCCGCTTCACGGCCGGGGAGGGCTGCGACTCCACGATCCCCATCTCGTACGGAGACACTGCGACGAGGACGGGAATCGCACGTCAGATTCGCAAGCCTCGTCGATGCAGAGTCAAAATCCAAAAAAAAAATCATAATAAAAAAATTGATACAGTTTTAAGGAATCTTCGTTCACAGTTAAGTCTGCTTACACATTCAGCAAGTTATGAGGCTATGAACCAGTCATGAACCAGTTGAAAGAAAGCCTCATCCAACCAAGTAATTCCTTTCCCAAGCATCATAAATACTTCCACAACAATCAAACCACTGATGCAAAAAATGAAACAGCATTCCACTTCCGTCTCCCGTTCCGGCTCCGTCGCTCTCACCGATGGCCGGGTTGACGAAGCGGAGGAAGATGACCGTCCCGACGGCCCCGATGTTCTGCGGGACCTGCGGGAACCGCTTGCTCAGCACCTGGTACAGGCAGTGGCACATGCTCCTCAGCTGCGGCGGGAACCTGAGTCGGACGAAACCAACGGGTCGACGGGAAAATAATCGTCGGTTGAAACTTCTGGGGCAGATATACAAATCGATTTTCTTCGTAGGTGTCTCACGCCGTGCCCTCGAGAATCGCTACCAGAGACGAAGGCGCGAGAAAACTCACTGATCGGCGGTGGAAATGATCGCGTTGAAGATCTTCTCGGTCAGGCTCATGAGGTTCCGCCGGTTGGTCTCCAGAATCTCACCGGATGGCAATCTGGAACCGGATGCAAACATTGATATGAGGTACTGAAGGAACGTTATGGGGATGACTCGAGACATGAAACACAAGGTGTAGCGAAACTATGACAAAGGGGGGCAAGGGGGCTGCCCAAAATCACGGGAAAGATGTCCATCAGGATACAGATTTTTAAATTATTCTCATTTCGATGAGAATTTCCCATAATGCAACTCAATACATGTCATTTTGCCATGGGGTTCCCCCCAAAAAATCTAATAAAGCAATGTCCCTGACACCTAAAGATGTTCAATTTCTTTTCAGGGAATACCTCGCTGGACTTCACACTTCCGATTCAGACCTTCCCGGCACCCATGTGCAACACCTCAAACCTTTTGGCCCCTGCAAAAAAATTAATTAAACTGTTTCCACCCCCTTCACTTCACGGGGCTCGGGGAGCTCACCGGGCCGGGTCCACCTCGTAGCTCAGTGGGGGCTCGTCCAGGAGCGGCTTGATGAGCGGGTGGAGGAGGCTGTGCAGGTACGCCGCCCCGTAGATCTTGAAGCAGAACGCCATGATCTTCGAGCCGAGGGAGTTCCCGCGGAACAGCGTCTGCATGCAGTCCGACACCTCCACCTCCCGGTAGAACATGTTCCACATCAGCGGGGTCAGCAGGTGCTTCGTGTCGAACAGGGTCACGAACACCCGCGCCAACTCGTCCTGGGACGGACGACCGGAAGATCAAGGAGGCGCAAGGATGCAACAGTAACTTTTAAAAATCACAGAAAAAAAAGATTTTTCGCTAAGGCGCTTCCAACTCGCATCACCACAATGAAACCTCAAAGCACCATTCCCAATGCGACTCAGTGAGAAAAAAACCCGAACGAGAGACATTCCACACGGGACGACACACAAAACGCGCAGCGCACGTTCCCCCCTCGGCCGATTAATCGCCGAGGCCCCGGAGCAGAACTTTGCATGTTGCTACTTCCCGCTCTATGACAATGCAGCAATAGCTTCAAACAGGACTTGCGTCAATGATACCAAAAATGAAAAAAAAAAAAAAATTCATAAAAGCATTCCATTATGAAAAATGAATCTGTTCACATCTCTTGGCCCCAACAAGAAAGACTTGACCTAGATTTCCCCCACAGCTTTCACTAGTTGCAACAGCTCATAACTGTCACAACATCGACACCAGAACATTACATAAAACCCTTGCGAAACCATTCCCCACAGAGTTCTAGCACCGCACAACTCTCATCCACAGAACTTCCAGGAACCCTTCCAAAAATAAATTTAAAAAAAAAATTTCAATGCAGAAAATGCTCTTAAACCCAAACAACCCCCCGTGGCCACCCCGCAAGCGACAAAACCCCCAGCCACCATTTGGGAAGTGGGGACGACCGAGGCCAGGGCGACCGCAATGCTCAGCTCCCCCTTGTCCCCCATCATCGTGACGAGCCCGACGAGCTGCTCGAACCGGTCCGCCAGCACCGTCTCCGCCAGCGTGTCGAACTCCGTCCCCTGCTGCAGGATCTTCGTCAGCACCTCCATGAACGCCGCCCGCGTCTGCAGGTCCTTGTGGTAGCCCAGCCCTGGAGGACGAGAGAGAGAGAGACGTCACATGTCCTCGAGGCCGTTCCCAGAAAGCATTCACGAAGTCTTCACAGTCCAGAATTGATCAGCCAGAAAAGATCAGCCTTCAGAAAAATGACTCCAAAGGTAATGAACCTTGACCATCACATCGCCAAGCGACTCTTACAGAGATGCCATAACCATAAATTAACACTTCTTCCATCTTTTACCTGAATGGAATCATAAACATACAATTTAAGATTGGAAGCAGCATCGACCCCCCCCCCCACCCCCCGACCTCGAATCGCAAACGCACCGATGGAATGCATGAGGCCGGAGTCGATGTTCGCCGAGAGGAGGTTGGACATGGCCTGGATGGTGGCGTTGCGCAGGGACTTCCCCGCCCCGCCCCCCCCCCGCTGCTGCTGCTTCTCCAGCTCCTCCTCCCCGCACTCATTCAGCAGGTTCATGAACAGGGTGAAAAACCTGCAGGAAGGGCCACAATCACACGACAGGCCAGGGGGAAAATTGGCCAACCGGCCAATCGGCCAATTTCCCCCCACACTTCATTGAAAAATCCCTCCTTTGAACCGCAGAACGCCAGCTTCCTGGACTGAAATTCTGGATCCCATTTCACACCAGGAATCTGAACCACCCCGCGGTCGGTTCGTCGGGCAACAGCCCCCCCCCCCCCACGCCTCACCGATTGCCTCTCCCGATCATGCTCCTAGGTTACATCTTCCAAGTGGTACTTTCATGGCACTGAAGTTATATTAGTTTCCTGAAGAAACGAGCACAGTAGGAAAATTGGAGAAGGAAAAGAGGTCCGCGTGCAATACTTATTGCTTAGAAAGCAAATATGAAAAATATAATAATAAAAAAAAAACAGAAAATTGCCCACTACCAGAAGCTCCATTACAGACACCTGTGCAAAAAAAAAGCAAATTGGGCAATTTTGGTAATATGACCCTGCTCTCGCAGCAGCACCAATTACCCGGCGCTTCAAAGATGCGACACCTGGCAACACGACTCAGGCATCCGGGGGGGGGTTGCCTTTCGATCTAAAGGGACTCATAGATCACATCACCCACCCTTACCACAGACAAGAAAAAGCACGCACGAAGCCCACAAGTTAAAAACCAATCCCTCGATATGCTCAAAATCCGAAGATGAAGCTTTAAATAAATAAAAAAGAGACAAAAACCCATCCGAGGAACACGACGAAAGTCAGCGCGAGACCCCTCCGAATGCGTTACGCGGCCAAAGGAGGCTGAAGGCTTCCCTTCGAGGCCAAGGCCAACTGATAACAGGCCCTCGAACAGGGGGAAACGCGGAAACCGGCACGAAACCCCACTGCATCATCATCCTCCTCCTCCGCCTCCCCTCCTCCTCCCCCACAGCCTTCACAAAACAACCATCGCGGTCGCCGCACACAATCCTACCAACAGACCCGCCACGCGAACCGCGGAACCCCCTCGCGACAGCAAAAAAAGGCGATCCACATCCCACTCTCGACCCCTCCAGACGACCGACCGGACGACCGACCGGACGACCGACCGGACGACCGACCGGACGACCGACCGGACGACCGACCGGACGACCGACCGGACGACCAACGCCCTCCTCCCAAGACAAAGCGGAAGCGAGGCTCACTTTCGGCACATCTGCAGGCACGGAGCTCCACACGCATCGACTCGTCCGACCCGCCTACGAATGCGACGACCCCCCCCGCCCCGCCCCGCCCCGCCCCCCCCCGATAAGAACTTCTTATCTG